TTTTTCACCACCGGCGTTAGGCTGATGCCCTTATGGTTAGCTCTTTTTGTATATCGCCACTATAATTGTTTCACTCCAACTAGTTGGGATAGCTCTTGTCTGCCAGACCTGTTCGAATAGAGAGGTCAATGCTTTATAGAGGACCTCACCATCATACTTAAATACTACGAGTGGGAGCGAATCCGGAACAGCAGCACGAAAACGATTAAGGGCTTCGATCGAGTTAAGGAACTCAGATTCTGACGGATTCTCATAACTAACGCGATGGCTCAGCCTGCGTTTCCCGTGTAAGAGCAGGAGCGGATGCAGGGGGACAACTGAACTGTTTTCGAAAGTGCTCCGCCCAACGATCCATACGGCGTTCCTTATTGGGAATCATGGCGCCCGCACTATCCCTGATTATCTCAGTGACGCCTTGCTTCCTGGGGCCAGTCGTGCGTATCTGTTGGAAGAGCTTGCGGAAATTGCCTACTGTTCATGCTTTCTCCATTTATTGAGCCCGACTGATCCACAAAGCTTCCATGTCATCACGCAAACCGCTTTACTTAGTGCTCAATATTCCGCCTTGTTGCATTTTGCTCAGAGCCACCCGGGAGGTTTCTTCTGGATCCTGGCAAGTTCACCGACCTCTCGGACTTTCAGTGATTGATGTGTTGACGATTGATAATCCCGCAAGCAGATGCTCCTGCATGGTGCATAGCAGCCGAGGTCCTATTCCATTGTAGCTCAGTGTCATTATGACAAGAGAGCGAAAGTTCGGTACGCAGTGCGTCTTAATAGGTTTGCCTGACCGAGGGCTGAGACTATTTCTCAGTTGCCAATCGGGGGATACGCTTGGTGCGCCACCGGATAAATTTCATGGAGAACCGATAGCGTACCAAGGCATGATCAGAGTCGGCACAAGTACTCCAGAGAAAGCTACAATCTATGCTGCAGCCACTCTATCTGTAACTTTTTGCAACTTGATCTATTTGGGTCCATCGTTGATTAGCTACAGAAGGACACCAAGTAGAACTACGGCGCCCACTGTGTCTTTTTCCGGTGCTACTAAGAAACAGCGGGTTCTCCTCACACAGCTGTAACAGAAGGTCGCCGTGGTCTGTCCGTAACTAGTTAAGCTCCTATTTGCCAAAGCATCTCAGGAGCTCAGACGGCCTACTTGCGCATTCATATCCCTTGCGCGAACAATGATATCTGAACTGGTAACACTGTAGTATCGTGTTCACTTTGTAGTGGAAAGCGTCCTTTTCAGCATCAGAGCTGCAATCGGTGGGGGCATAAGTCTAAATTTCAAACAGATAGCGTCTAGTGCTACTTTGTGAATCAACTGTAGTAGATCTCATCAAACAGACTGCACAAATGGCTGTTCACCGGAATCCAGTCAATCAGCGATGGGTCGTCCTTGAAGCTGAGAACAAAGCCCACTCCAGCTTAACCAGTGGTTGTCGCATCAGCGTCCCCGGATGCGTGCCCCCGATACCGCGAGGGCAAGTCTGGCCCAGTTAATTCAACATTGCCGCGAAGGTCATTGATCATAGTTTCAGGCACACAACACACTTCAATATCCAGTGTGTCTAACATGTGTGCGAGGGCAACTTGTTGACCTATTTGTCTTAGAGTGCGAGCGTTGAACACCGCCAGGGAAAGGGGACAGTAAGGCCTTATGAGGAGCTGTGGCCGATTGGTGTCCATTGGGTGGTCCGGGAAGATAGCTGCTGTTTTGATGCCTCCTTTGACACTTCGGTTATTGTCAATTAAACTGGGAATTATCGGATGAAGACTAGTAATGGGGACTTGGAGGGAAGTGAAAGAAACGGATGAAAAGGAAAGAAAGGATGGGTCAACAGTGGCATGTTTTCGCTTATCCGCCCTGCTGTATGCAGCAGACAAGGCAACCCTACTAAAGCTACGTGGCGATTGATGTAGAATCTGGTTAACAGAAATGGTGGCTGTACTTGGCTGAAATCTTGCTGGGGCGCTCAGACCTAGACAGGAGGACGATTAGGGTCCTCAACCAAAGTCTTTGACTCGAAATTCTGTCGCAATGCTGAGCGAAGATGATAGTTTTACGAAAATATACGCCATCCCATTTCAGACCCCTAACTTGCAAGACGAGGAGACTGAGTTTGTCTGACCTCTAAAAGTTGACCAAGCTGGTAGGAGTAGCTCTTAAGTTGCCCAAACCTACAACCTAGTGTAGCTCAATGGGTCAAGGAGATACGCAAACCGTCGCACCACATTAACTTCCAGTGTCATGTTGACGGTTTCAGTTTACTGTATCGGGACTTCCAATTTCCGATGATATCGAACTCGCGATGACTGAGTCGATTTCAGTAGAAATGTGAATGCTCCCCCTTTGAACTGTATTTCTGTAGTTGACCGTATGTGTACCATTTGTCTTCGTGCCTTCATTGAAATCGGCCTCAACAGCGGAATTCAAGCTTCTCGTTGTTTTGCCCTTCGGGCAGACTGACTATCGACCAAAAGCCATAAAACGCAAGTTGTATCATCGGATAATATCCCTAATAGTTATGGTACATGCCACGTCTTTGCTCGTATACTATTCACTCTTCCCACTTCAGTTTAGCGTTCATCGCGGATATATGCTGATTGACTGAAGTCTCAATCTATACAGCAAGAACTTCATTTTACTTTGGAGCACCGGTTATTTCTCTCGGACAAACGGGCAAATGCAATATTGACTGGAGTTGCTTTTAGTGCTCTCGTGTCCGCTCAGCTTAAGTCCTTCGGATTAGCCTGACTAAACTTGTCACTAACGTTCATCCACATCCTGCATCGGACGTCACGCAGTCTCAGAAGGTTCATCTTTTCTGCTGCGTGCAACAGAGCCAGCAGTCGACACTATGCTACCAATAGTGCCTCCACCTGTTCCTCCCACGCCCCTTGCATCTCGCAACCTCTGACTTAACTGACGGCAGCTGCAGTACCGTTTTTTGCCATTTGCAACTATAATCCCGCAACGTCTATTTGATTCACGATACGCAACCTGTTTTCAGCCCATCCTGCCGTCTGACCATATTTAAAATCCTCACCCTAAAACAGATAGTCCAACATACTGCAGTTGCACGCACAGTCAACATTCTGAGTGTTGGTGTGTGCTGCATCTCCGCAACTAGACTCAATGACCCTTAAAGTGTTATCGAACCAAATGCGTTAACCCGATCTTATATTTTCATTGCACGCTCTCTGGAGCTGCTGGTGCAAAAACCAGAGGTCCGGCTAGGGTGGGCATCGTTCCCAGTTTCAGGGCTGAGTCATTGAAGCCCCTCACTTCGAAGCTGGTTTCGCTGGGGCGTCTCGGGTTTCTGGTTGGGGTCCAAAAGACGATGAACACGTTTGGCTGGATACGCTTGCTGCTATGGCTAGGAGCCGACCTCAGTGGCGTTCATGCTGTGAGTTTCTTTGTCCCACCTTATCCCTCTTAGCCTCCTACCAACCACGATCTCACTATTTAGCCTCATATAATTTTGCACAGTAATTTTTTTGCTGCATAGTTGCCGGCTGGTAGCTTGCCGGAGCGATGCCCATCCGTTACGGGTAGTTCAGCCGGCTTGTACCTATTGCGTTTTCCCTTTTTTCTTTTATGTATTGCAAAACAGTAGCTGAGGTGTTCCCCACCTATAGCTAACGCGAAAATGATGATGAAATGATGGGCTGAGTCATAGGTGAATGAATTTCCTTGAGCAACATATCTGAAAACATCACATAACTTTGGTTCACGGATGAGCGCTAAACGCTGCCAGATTATCATCACCGTTTATGCCCCACCGACCGCAATACCGCTTGTCAGCATAGTTTGTGTGTACTTTGAATATTGGCCAATTTTCTGCACTTTCGATTTCATGGATATTCTACGATTTCGGGGCACAAACTTTGAGCCGCTTGTTGTGCTCTATTGCCCCCGAGAAACTTTATTTGTATTTCGACGAGTCGTTTAGTTTTTACTGTCACACTTCGGTTTTTGTCATTCCTCAGCGTTCTTCCCTTTCAACATCCTCTAGAGTTGGGCTTTCGACATCCTGTTCCCTCGTGTAGCGCACACTCGAAACACCCATTATTCCGCCTTTATCCTTGCTGTTCTTTCCGCGGGTTATGTATCTCATTAGGGATGTTGGTTCTCCCATAATCTGCTCTGCCCTAGGTGTTTTCGTCCTGTTGATGTTACCCCTCCACCATTGCTTCGATTGCGATGGAACAGATCTCTTTCACCACACAAAAGCGATATCTCCTTGCGGTTTGGTATCTGGGAATCGGAACTTCTTTTCGTCACACCATTTTACGTCTTATGTTTGTAACCCGTCGTCGTTCTTCTTTCCTACATCCTTGCAGCTTTTATGGCACATGCAATGAGTGAATGATGCCTTTTCAATTCGTTTACTGACTTTCTTTGAAACTATGTTCAATTTCGTTTTTCTCCGACAGTTAAGAAATATCCTTGTTGCTTTTGACACCACTTCTTTCTACCTAACATTGGGACGCCGCGTGAGCTTGTAAGCCAGTTACTCTGATCATATACTGTCAATAGTCGGCCGGTGGCCGAGTGGTCGGCACGTTTGCTTTCCAACCATAAGGTCACCGGTTCGAATCCGCGTAGGGGTGGGCGTCCTCGCGGTATACTAAGCCCGCGCGCGACTAGTGGTGGTCGCGCGGCAGCGAAGCGCCGTTACGGCGTATAAGCTGACACCTTTTTTTTTAATAGTCGAGATAGCATTCATCAAACCCAATGTATCGTTAGGCACTCGTTTCAGCTTGTCGTACCTGGCTGCCAACGGCCGTTTCCTCGATACTCTCGTAGTCTGTAGGCTGAATTCCTCCGGCCACACCGGTTTCATATCTTCAGCGTGACTACCTGGCAAGTGCTGTATGATACTTTCTGTCTATCGGTTAAACCTATCCTTCGATTAATTTGTTGTTTCAAACCCAAACGCTTCATTATTTCAATAATCCGTGTTTGGTTCATAGTGTTTTTAACCTTTTCAGGACCGTACTTTGACCCCCTGATAATTCCTATGCTCGAGAACGCCAATCCCACATTATTTCCTCTGCGACCGCGTGATCTACGAACCCTTGACGACCTAGAATCGGTGGAGGACTCATGGGACGGGACACGCCAACCGATTGATGCGGCCGAAATTTTTGGTAAATTTGTGACCATCCCAGCTGATGATTTCACGAATCTTCCCATTGTTTTTCTCTATATGCACGTCGAACTTCCCACTTTCATTCACGGTTTTAATGATATTTGCTTGTGAATTTTTGTGCCGTTCGCTTTTTAAGTGACTATATTCACTTTCCCTCCACAGTTCCGGATCTGTTTCAGCCAAAATGACCACACAAATTCACCCGTTTCTTTATCCGAATCAATGTGAAGCTTTGCTGTTCACAGCTAGTATCGGTACCTCGTTTACTCTTGCCAGCTGCGGAGACTGCATCTGATGCTGTCTTATTTGTTTAGTGATCTTAATCACAGCCGGAGCAGTGCAAGCCAAAATGCATTTGTTTCACCGATACCGTCTTACCTTCATGCCACAGACAGCTATTTGTGGCTGCGGTGTCTCCTTAAAGCATTTGTAAGTTTAGCACCAGGTCCTCGTTTATAATAATTATTGTTCCTCCTTTGCCAGTCCCCTATTGTTGTGTAACGGGGATACGTAAGTACAATGTACCGTCTGAATGCTTTCGACCATTACTTTATTAGATGCAACCTCGCTCTACACCGGCAACATTTCACTCCCATCCTCACTGTTCAGTTTATTGGCCTTGTGCGCGCCCCCGGGCAGTTGATCCCAATCGACGCTCTTGCCTTTTTGCGGGCCATCCCTCACCAATTTGTTGCACATCATTGAGCTTACATTCATTCGACTCGGATGTATCACTTCTACAAGGTGGCTGACTGTCTTTCGAATTATTCTTATCATTTCAACGTCTGATTCACGTCTGCGTGTGGGACGACGGATTTCGTTGCTGAAACTCATCATTGCAGTAATCCACTTTCAAACCCTTTGTGGATTTTTTTAACACTCGTTCGAAAGATCTTTCTTGTGGCTATCAAGTCAACCAAAAATCATTTCTCCCTAACACCATTTGCTGTAGCTACTTTGCATTTCTTATTATCTTGCTTCTTTCCCAGCATTCATTTGGAATGGATTGATTACTGAAAGCCAATCGTCACTCCTTATAACGTAGTCAACCAATACGTCGGTGACCAACGTAGCAATGTCACTCCATTGACACTTCTAACCACCGCTCATCTGACGGGTGTGTGCAAACGACCAAGTTCATAACAATGTCTGCCTCATTCAATCCACCGGCCGTCAGCCATCTCACTTAGTGTGTGTATGTTATGACGTTCTTTTGTGTCACGTACACACCTCCCACAGAACATTCATCGAACATGAGCCCCAGTACCACAGCGACGGCTTGGATAGACGTAGCTGCAAACGACAACTGTGCATCCAACATTCTAAACATGGTGCAGCGCCACGTATGCTCTTCAGAGAGTTGCGGTAAAGTGCTTAATATCGAGGTAACTTGTTCTAGCTGCATTAGATCGTACCATTCGAAATGTGTAGGGAAGTCAGTCAAAGAAGCGAGGTAGATAAACAAAGTTGCTGACACATTTTGGTTTTGTCCAACATGTCAAATCATTCCAGTTGTTAACTGTTTGCTTGCTCATGAAGAAGTGCGATAGGTTGAATGAGATAATCGCGCATTCAGTGAATACTAAGATCACTCCCTCGGAGGTAAATATGGCCATGCTAATATCTCAACCAGTCTCTAAACCGAAGAAGGGAATCAGACGCTCCAACCGCACTGCAGCGTTCGTATCTCTAAGCCCTCTGGCTCACCTCACTGCCATAAGCGGACAAGCTTCAAACATGCCTGCTTTCACTCCTTTCAGTAGTGCGGCCACCATCAAGCTAGTGTTGATGGTGGCAGCTTCGAGCCCGAGTTTGTCCACCATAGAGAAAAGCACCGCATCGTACGCATCAGTTGCGACCACGCGAACGCCGGAGTGAACAAACCTGATTCCGGTAGCAGTGCCTGGCACCATTAGGAGAAAACAGTCGAATCGTTTTAAACGGTGTCCATTATACCCTCAAACCTACAGCTAAATAAAGGAAACAAGGTGCTTTGTCCGTTTTGTGCACGAACCTTCCAGAATCGCATTCTAGTACTATGAAAGGGAAAGTGATGGATGACCATTTTGCGGTACCAATGGCATTTCATTTGAGCCCACCACACTGAGACCGATTTTACGTCAACGAAACTCAGTGCATTACGGTGAAACTCGACTTCTTCGGGTGACAGTAGTGGTGACACAGAGGTCGTTCTACTATTTTCGATTCGGCGCCGTAACTCATCACATGAGGTGCGCATTCTTCCGGATATCCTTGGAACGAACGCCCTAAAGAGAATAGAAACCGGAAGAAGTTCGTACATCTGACGAAATACGGACGATTATTGTTTACGGGGTTCCTGATCTTCAAACGTCCCCCTATGAGGAAGCGGAGACACATAGCCGGGAGGAATGGATTTACCTCTGCCAAGAACTCTACCTCGACAGTATCGTTGCAATATGGTTGACAAGCATTCCAGCTTCACCCAACCACAAGGGAAACGGTCCCTGGCTGTTGAAGGTGATACTTCAGTCTGAGATAAGGACACCGCTTATATCCGATAATTGATCTTAATTCCACAAGAGGCTGCCTACAAAAATTCGCTTAAAGGCAGCAAGTACATGGCCAGAAGTTGCTAATGGCTTACTTAAGACGACGAAACTGGTGAATCTTCCCCTCATATAACTCTCTGAAGGGATCGATTTAATGACAACCTTAGCATCCGACGGAATAAAGCAAAACACGGAAGACCGTCACGGCCAGGACAGCCGAGAGCAGTCATATAACCCGAATGAACTTCAAATGCCATCGGCTCCGCAAGAAAACGGCTAGTAGCCCACCTCTCAATGGTCGGCACAATCTTCAATCTTAGTCCAAGGTCCCATGGTTCACTTTTGGTTACTGAGAAACTAACCTGCTTGTCTACTAACGCCCAAGGACTTATTTGTAAGGCGGTCGAAATCCGTGATCGTCAGGCATCCGAGTCTCGAGATTACATAATGATCACAGAAACGTGGCTGTGCTGTGAAATTGCCGACGCTGAAATTGCTATGCCCGGTGTGTCTCCTTCGAAACGACAGAACGGGTAGAGGAGGAGTAGTCATTTATTACAAAAATAGCCTTCGTCGTGAGCTCATAGATGGTTCTCAAACGTGTGTCACTGATCTTTCGTGCAAACTGCGGTTGAAGGACGACGGTAGATGCTTGGTGACCGTAGTTTACCGACCACCCAAATCCACTCCGGAGTTGGACGACAGACTATTATCCACATTACTAATTGTGATAAATCAGAATTACACCCTTATCCTCGTTACAAGTGATTTCAGTATTCATGATTTGGAAATTCCAGTAACCCAGATGGAGGAGTTCAATATCTATTTTTGCAAGAGCTAATCAATAGCACACTCTTATACAACCACGTCACCGATCCCACCAGGTTCAGAACGGCGAATAAGCTATCGGTGTTAGAGCTAGTGCTCACCGGCGAGGAGCTCATTATTGATGAACTAAATGTATGCGGTCCTTTGGGTCGAAGTGATCACGTGACTCTACTGTTCGATCATATTTGCTACGCCGAATACCCCGATGCATAGCCCGAGATGCAATCTGTTAGGCATTATCAGGATTGTTTCGGATGTGTTGAAAATGCTCACACTCATGACTGAGTGTACCACAGAGATAGCTTGAGGGAAATTCTTGAGAACCTTAACGTCAATACTCATCAAAGCATCAGAGCCAAAATCTTTCCACCCTCCCACCGAACCAAAATTCTTCATGAGAAGCCGAACACGGAAATTTATGCGTTGATGGATCGGACATGTCGCCTTTACAAAACAATCCCAGCGCAGAAAATTGGAAAGTGTACCTAGCTCAGCGCAGTTCTTCTGTACAGTTGTTTCGTGATGGCGTTATCACACCAACAGGAGCTAGCGCAACGATTCTTTTCCAACTACAAGCTTCTATACCGACACGCGAATGTACTTTAGAAAGTGCAGCACGGGATCCCACCACTTACTACGATTTGTGGGTATACACACGCAGCAAAAATGGCGTCCAGCGCCTTACGGGCCCAGTACTTACTTACTTTACGAAGGATACACGTCTCGAACATTATACTTGCTTCTGTCGCCACACCATCAGTGTTATTCAGCACCACACTCAGAGCAGAAATGGGGCTGTAAAGACTACTCTGCTTGCTTACACAGTTCTCCTGGAGTGGAGGACATTCGCCCTAAAGCACTGCAGGTAGCAGCCATGCACCTAGACCAACCACGTGCCGGATTCTTTCAGTGTTGTCTAGACGAGTACACTGTTCCGTCAACGTGGAAACGAGTTCTTAAAACCCCCCTTCACAAGCGAAGAATACGGACTGATCTTGACAATTACCTTCCGGTAAACCATTCTCCCTGTTCTCGCCAGTCATGTAAACGATCATCGCGGATATAGAAGACATCAGCAGTACGCCGGTTCGCAGTACCGACGCTTTGCTGCCGCGCAACCACGGCCAGTCGCACGTAGGCTCAGGATACTGCGAGGGTCGCCCTGCCCTACTCAGACTCGAATCCGCGCCGTCAGATTGCATGACAAACTCGTTACCTTAAGGCTACGGGCCGGCCATCGCGGATATACTATTGGACTACCTGGAAAGCTGCGACATCATTGCGCAGGGCCGGTACAGGTTTTATCGACATTGAGCATGTATCACAAATCGGCTGATACCACGTGACAACTAGGCCAAAACCGTTGACGAAATGACAGGAACCGATGTTATGTACATGGACTTTCCGAAAGTTTTCGCTCACTTGGATAATCGAATCTTCCTGTACAAACTACAGCTCTACGGAATCGGTGATCCAGTATGGGGATGGATTGTTAACTTACTCCGCGAACGGCAATTGGCAGTTAGAATCCGATCATCTCTGTCCGACCCAATTCGAGTGGAGTGCGACGTACCACAAACTTCGGTATTTAGACCTCGCTTGTTCTTAGTTTTCATCAACAATTTATCGAGAGCTATTG